AGGAAATCATAAAATTATGGACTAATTTTTCCTAATGCGGATGTGCAAATCTAGTGGTGATCTTTAATCCGAGAACTTTGTGGATATTTTCCTTTTAAAATTTGGTGTAGCGGAAAAAATTGTTCAAAAAAAAAAAATTACCGATGGCTTAGATTTTTGAATAACGTTACATGATTTTCCGCATGCATTTATTTTTTTTTATTTCTATTTCTTTTCTCAAAGAATTTTTATTTAATTTCGGCATATACAAAATTTAATAAATCAACATGCAAGCTGCCAATGAGTGGATTAATTGTATTGAAAAATCTATCTCAAGTAAAAGTATCAAATACTTCGAATTTAAACAATTTAGTAATTTTCAAGAGATTGGTACAGGAAACTTTGGAAAAGTCTATCGTGCAAATTGGAAAAGTTCAAACCAACACCTTGCGTTAAAATCGTTCCATAACCTTAGCAATGCCACCGTTAAAAAATTTGTTCAAGAGGTAATTACAAAATAAAGATTTTATTTCTGTTAATTTCGGTTTATTTAGTATAAATCTTTTTGTCAGACTAAAATTTAATAATTTTAGCTTGAACTTCAACGGGAAGTTGATTTTCATAGCAATATCATTCGCTTTTTGGGAATTACATCATCAAATCAAGGTATAAATTCTTAAATTATATATGATTGACTTTGCATTTTATTTTTGATTCATTTTGTTATAAAAAAAAAACAAATTTAGAAAATCAAAATGATCAATTGAAAATATATTGGTTAGTAATGGAATATGCTGACAGCGGCTCGCTTAAAAAATATTTAAAGGGTAATTTTGATAAGCTAACTTGGGGAGATAAATATAACTTGGGATTTCAGTTGGCTAGTGCTGTATCGTGTTTACATAACGAAGGAATTATACATCGTGATTTGGTAATTTTACAAATATCATTTTCTTCTGAATATTGCTTAATGACTAATATTTTTTTATATACATATAATAGCATTCTGGTAATATATTAATTCATCAAGGCGTTATTAAACTAGCCGACTTTGGACTATCTAAAAGAATCGAAGCAGCAACTAATCATTCAAAAGCTTTTGGAGTAATTCCTTATATTGACCCAAAACTTTTTAACAAACGAAAAAATGACAATACATCACCATTTAAACTAAATGAAAAGAGCGACGTTTACAGTGCTGGCGTACTTTTCTGGGAAATATCAAGTGGTCGTCCTCCTTTTTTTGATGAAGAATATGACTTAAGTTTGGCTATCGAAATTTTAGGAGGGCTTAGAGAAAAAATCATTCCTGGCACACCTGAAGATTATGTGGACATTTATACTGGTAAATATATGTCATGTAAATTATTTATAAGTATATAAATGATTATTAAATTTTTATCTAATTTCAGGGTGCTGGGATAATGAGCCAGATAATCGTCCATCAATGAATCAAGTAGTTGATAAATTAAATGCAATAATTAACATAGCAGAAAATAATCCATCAAATCAACAACATCGTTTGGATAACATCAATGCTTCTTCTAGCATAATTAATTCGTTTGGAGAAACATCTCAAATTATTCGATTTGATCAGATAAAATGTCAAATGAATAATTATGAATCAAATAATTCCGAAATTATTCATCATTTGGCTGGTCAGGAGAATGTAGAGGAATTAGAATCAAATATTGAAGATTTAAATATTAGTTACGATGATACTATTGAAAGTTTAACGATCACGGAATTTAATATGGATGACATATCAAGCGCCTTAGGTGGATTACAAAGATATCGTAAATTAACTAAACTCATTTGCAATTATACTAGTATTACTAGCTTACCATCTTTACCAAACCCCTTAACTATACTCTCGTGTAATAGCACTAAATTAAATAGCTTACCAACCTTACCCAACTCCTTAACTGAACTCGAATGTAATTATACACCAATAACCAGCTTACCAACATTACCCAAATCCTTAACAATACTCTGGTGTTATAGCACTAAAATAAATAGATTACCAACCTTACCGAACTCCTTAACGGAACTATATTGCTATGATACTCCAATTACGAACCTACCAACCTTACCCAACTCCTTAACGGTACTTGACTGTTCTAATACTCAAATAACTATCCTACCAACTTTACCCAACTCCTTAACAAAACTCTGGTGTTCTGATACTAAAATAAATAGCTTACCTACATTACCCAACTCCTTAACAATACTCAGGTGTTCTAGTACTAAAATTAATAGCTTACCAACCTTACCCAACTCCTTAACGGAACTTTATTATTATGATACTTCAATAACTATCATACCAACCTTACCCTTAACGGCACTTGATTGCTCTAAAACTCCAATAACTATCCTACCAACTTTGCCCAACTCCTTAACAAAATTCTGGTGTTCTAATACTAAAATAAATAGTTTACCAACATTACCCAACTCCTTAACAAAACTCTGGTGTTCTAATACTAAAATAAATAGCTTACCTACATTACCCAACTCCTTAACAATACTCAATTGTTATAGGACTAAAATAAATAGCTTACCAACTTTACCCAACTCTTTAACAGAACTCAATTGCTCTTATACTCCAATAACTATCCTACCAACCTTACCTGACTCCTTAATAAAACTCAGGTGTTCCAGCACCAAAATAACTATCCTACCAACCTTACCCAACTCTTTAAAAGAACTTTATTATTATGATACTCCAATTATTATCCTACCAACCTTACCCAATTCCTTAACAGTACTTGATTGCTCTAAAACTCCAATAACTATCCTATTAATCTTACCCAACTCTTTAACGGTACTTGATTGCTCTAATACTCAAATAACTATCCTACCAACCTTACCCAACTCCTTAATGGTACTTGATTGCTCTAATACTTTAATAACTATCCTACCAATTTTACCCGACTCCTTAACAAAACTCTGGTGTTCTAATACTAAAATAAATAGCTTACTAACTTTACCCAACTCCTTAACGGTACTTGATTGTTATAATACTAAAATAACTAGTTTGCCAAATTTACCCGATTTCTTAACTAGTATTAAACCTGAATATTTAAAAATTCAACCTATTCTATTGCTTATAAGCAGTACTTTTTCTTTTTTATGTATTTTGTAAATTTTTACTGTTTATACTTATTATTGCGCATATGGGGTCTGAGCTACTTTACAGGATAAGAATTTGATTTGAGTAAATGATAATCAAAAATAAATACTACGTCACAGTAAACATTTCTGACTAATAATAAATTGTTCTAATTTTAAATATTAAGTGAATTAATTAATACTAAAATTTATTATTTAAAATTTTACTATAAATTATTATTTTATAATATTTAAAATTATTTACTATTATAAATACATAAAATTTTATTATTAAAATAATCTTATGAGATATTATTACACTAATCTTGGAATTAATTTTATAACGCTTGAGATTTTGCTATTAAAATTTAATATATTGACATTGTGAAAGTGTGGAGTGCCGATATTGAGGCAATACTAATTAGTTAATAAATTTGGCATCACAATTATTTCATTTTTATTTAATTCTATTAAATCCTTCTGCTTACAATACAAAATTGTTTATAAATACAAAAATGAAAGAACTGTATACAACAATACCATTATCGTTATAGTTTAATAAAATAAATTTTTTTAAAATATAATGCGATTCAACATCATTTTCATTAACTACTGCATCCATAACTTCAACAAATTTACAAACTCTATTAAATGACAATTATATTTAATAAATTCGGCTTGATTGCCATCTTTTAATTTAATACAATAACAATATCTGTTAGAGGGAGCTTCAGAAAGCATACAAACATCTCTATTACTGAAATTTTTTGTTATCATTTTAACTTTTCATCTCGTGTTTATTATTCTCTTCTGTTTTTCCATAATTTCTTATCTATTCGAGATGCTGCTATAAAAATAAAATTAAGTCGTCACATTGATCAATCATCTATAACACAATTCGAAGTATTGGAGGTAGGATTGTAAATCAGCAATAGTTTTATTGATTCCATTGGAAACAATCTGTTTAGAACTTTCAGAGGTAATAAATTCACGATGTTATGTATTTTGTAAAATTTTTAACCTGTAGTGTTGCAAATTTACAAAAAAAAAAATTATTATTGAAAATTTTTTTTAAAAAAAAATGCAGGATGTTATTACTCCAAATAATGCTTACCTGCATTGAACGTAACAACATATTTTCCATCTTGACTTGATATCTATTCTGACTATAGTCTTTGTTAGAAATTTAATAAGAAATTTGTTCAAAATGTTTTTTTTTAAGAATTCAAGGTACTGATATCGTGAAGAAATGAAGAATTGACAGAAAGAATGGAAATTTGTGACCAATCGAAAATAAATAATCTCAAAAATGGAAACTATAAATTAAATAAAAACATGCAGGTGATCTGAATCAGAATTAGAATAGTTTTTATATACTTGTATTTAATCAAGTGCAACACTAAGTGACAATACCTATTATTTATTTTGCAAACAAATGAGAAAATTGCTTATTTTTTTATTAATTAGTTAATTTACAGTTGGTTCAAATCTAACTTTACTTGGTTAGAAATGCATTGCTTACTTCAAATAATTACATATTAATCAAAAATACTTAATCCAGAAAAGAATTCAAATGACTTTCCAAGATCTCAGAAGCTATTTGCATTGAAATAATAAATACTTTGTATAAAATAATTACATTAAAGATTATTTAAGTTCATAAAGTTATTTTTATTTGATATGCATTATTCAAGATCGATGCTAATTAATAATACATATTCCATTAAAAATTAATTTTAAAATCTTATCCTCCAATTTATTCAGAATGGATAGCTCAGTTAACCCAAATGAATAAATGCATCATGTGCATTTAAATTTATTTGCTTAATGATTGATACTAGCGTCTCTACTCTTCTTTAAATTTAAATTTAGAAAATTCTTCTGAATCTGCGTCCTTATCTCAAGCATTTTCAATGGATAGCAGCATCTCTGATGAAATAACTGAAATGAAAACTACAATTGGATACAGAAATCAGAATGATTTGTGTGAATTTATATTTGACTTTTATCGACTGCTGGATTTGGACTTGGTAAAGAATCTATTTTTCTACTGTATTTCAAATTTTTCCACAGTTGATAAGATAATTATATTGAATAAGATCTTAAACGTCTTTGCAATGAGATCATGTCAAATAGCTTCAAGTCCATCTCAAAGATAAATTACAAAAAGTTGAATTTCTATTCAATCCAGTTTGTAGGACATTATAGTCACAATGAACAAATTGCAATGTTTTGCACATAAAGAAAATTATCAATAAGGAAAAGATAAGCCTTTATGTGATGTTATCTACTTTTTTAAAATGGTATGGTTAATATATATTTATTACCAGTTATGAATCGATTGTTTTATCATTTGCTGACAATCCGTCACGTGAATTTATACATTCTCTTCAGCCAGGAATTTATCTTCAACAAGTGTTATCTATTGAAAAGAACGAAATGGCAAATCTTCTTATTTTAGTCATTCATTAGAGCGAAGATGGTTGTTATGATGATCTTCATATAGAAAGAAGTAGATAAAGGTAGGAACTGGCCTAAAAAGTTAATAACTGGTTAAAATATTCGGTACCCAGTTAATTAACTGGGTAAATTAACTTAAGCCAGTCCTATAAATTTGGCTGAAGTTAAATTCACCTATTTTAACTGGTTAAAAATCTTTATCAGGTTAATTACCAGTTAAAAATTAACCTGCTCCAACCTTTAGGAAGAAGAATACAAACTTTAATGTAATTAATTTTTTCAAATACCTCACAAATTGACTGACCGTCAAATTTAATGAGTGAAAGTATAAATAGGCAAATAATCTTGAATGAAGTAAATAATGACAAAGATAATAACAACGGCTTATACTATATTTCGAAGTATAAAAAAGCTAAGAGTAAAAGGAAGATTTCGAAAATTTATTGGATTCAGAGTGAGCAAAACTTTGATTCTTTCGAAATTTAAGACATTTAGATTAATTCCCTATTTCTTAAGGATAATAATCAATTTGCAAAAATCTATGAAAAAGAAAGTTTCAAAAGTTACATCTTGGTAAAATTTTTTATCTGAAAATTTATAGTGTTAATTTTATTATCAGATAATCGAACGTAAAACTTTATATTATGTTGTTGATTCTATATCAAATCAAGCCTTCATTACACGTGAAATTGTAGTTTACCGACACAATTTAAATTGACATTTCTTTTTCGCGAATATTTCAGAAGTAAACTAGAAACTCAATAATGTGCCCTAATTTTAATCTTGAAGGAATGATTAAGATTCTTCAAATTATAATGAATTGAATAAACGCAATCAGGCCGTAATAAGCAACATGATTTCTTGCTTACAGAGAGACATGCATGACATGGCATGACATGTCATATGCTCAAACTCAAATATAGGTAATAATACAATAATTTATGTTAACTATTTGGGAGGTTTACTATTAAAATCGAGTAATGAATATAGTAAATCATATGATCCGTTCTGTAACGTGATTTTAATAGCAAACCTCCCATTTATGTTTAAAGCAATTTCGAGAAAACCTTGTATTTTATTATTATTTTTATTTTTATTTATATTTTTTTTTTAATTGTCCTCTAAAATTTTATTTACATATAAAATGATGGTCTGTTTTGTTTATATTAGATATTCGCTGAACTTTTATTTATAATATTTCTTATTTTAGAAATTTAATACATTTAGCAAAGTTATACTGAAATAATACTAAAATTGAAAAAAGAATTGATTTCATTAACTGCAAACTATGGAAAGATCTTAAGAGACGGTTTATTCTTCAAAACATTTCTATGAGAAAGTTGCTATACTTTAACTGTTTTGGAATATTTTTCGACAAAGAAACTTAAATAAAAGACCTCAAAAAAAATTTAACCATTGGAGTATGTCACTTGTTAAAAGTGATATGGTAAAAGATTAAAAAAGAGACATCTCAGATTATTAGTCAATTAATTTAAAGATATTTCTTATGATTAAAAATATATAAGACTAAAAAGTATTAAGGTTTAACAAAATATTCCAGCAAACAATTTTCACAGAAGTTTGATCACGATATTAGTAAAAAAAACATGAACTTGAAATCTGCAATAGTTCGTATATATTCTGAAGTAAATGAGAAGTATCCTGAAGGATAATAAAAAGCCTAGAAATTAAATGTAAATAAAGCGTCTAATTGCGTTTCAATTTATTTTTAATATCCTAATATCAAATAGGCATTTTGTAATAGAAAGTGAGGAAAGTTACCAAAAAAAATTTTTTACTTTATATGATTTATTTTTAGTAAATAAGTCTAGATCTATATTAACTCAAAATAATTTTTTTTAAAGTTTTCTCCCTTTTTACTGCAAAACGCTCACATTTCACAATATACAGTATATATTATAAAATTTGGATGAAGCTCTTTATAAAATATGGAACGATAATTGTCAGAGGCTTATACTCAGCATAGTTAAGAATTACAGTCCCTGGCAAAAAGAATGGCGGTAAAAGACCGCATCTATTTAGGCTGCAGTTTCACCACTTTTTGGATTTAGGTATTATTTTATATACCCAAATCAGACATTAGAACCTGAATTAAAAAGGTAAGTTAAAAAAATAAGGTTTGTTATTTATTTTATTTTGATTTCCTTTCTGAAATTATACCAAACTCTTTAGAAATACAAAGAAATTCTATTAAGTCACTTTGGGACTAAAAAGTGCGTAATGCAAAGAAAATTTCTAATCGATTATGCATTCCTTTGTACACATGTGAATGATATATCAGTTTACTAAATAAAACTGGCAAAATTTCTATTGGTCACTCTTCTGGCCATCCAAGAAAATTAGCTTCAAATCAACGCCACCATATTGGAAAAATTCTGCAACATAATCATTTGTCTACAGCAGTCGAACTTAAGTCAAAATTGGAATAAAAAGATCCCAATCTTGATGTTAGTGAACGTACGATACGTCATGAACTTAACAATCTTGGATATGTTTCTGTTCTTCCAAGAAAGGTTTCTCTCTTGACCCAAAAAGCGAAGGATTTTCATTTGTCTTATGCACGTGATCATTCGCGATACAACTGGAAAAAGTTGTTTTTTCTGATGAAACAACACTTCAGATGTTTAGAAATACTATGTGTGCATGGTCTCATAATGCACAACCAATTGCTCCTATGGTAAAGCACCCATTCAAGGTTCATGTTTGGGCAGC